TTATAAATATATATTATAATATACTGTGTATTATAAATATTTGTGTATCACAAGAAATACTAATCAACTAAGACAGCATTCAAGTATGAAGAGATGTGTTTGCACTTCAGTGGTGTCTTCCACAGATCCAAGCTGGCAGGGGTAACTTACTGCATTAAGATACAGAACCAAGAGTAAGACCTGATGTCAAATCAGTGGAGATGTATAGCTGGTCCCACTGTAGAGGTAATTGCGGCAAGAATCTTGAGCTTTTCTAGTCTGTGAAATGGAACAGCTCTTTCTTGACATAAATGGTGAGTTCAAGTGTAAGTTGCTTTGACTGTACTCAGTTTGACAGCAAACATATTTAACAGTCATTAGTTTTCTAGACCACATATGCTAATATCCTTACTGTGTAAGCCCCAGCAATATTCAACATACTCCATATGACACCCACAATAGGCAGAGGTAATGCAAGCTTTCCAGTTTTACCCGATCAGTGAATCTCTAATTGTGCTTTATGAAGCCTTCAGAGGATGGAATAAGCCATCCTTTCTGCTCATTTAGTCCATGACTGGTATCTTTTGACAACCAGTATCAGCTGCAGCAGTTGTTTCTAAACAACAGCCCACTCAGACTGAGGGATACCACCAGATCACTTCTGAACTGCTGGCATATGGTTTCACTTTCTGAGTACTGCCTGCCCACCGGCAGCCTAGGACATACAGGTCTCAACCCAGATTCTGAATGTGAGACATCCAAGCCCCTGAAAGGCTGGAGCTTCTAAGTATCATCAGATTCTAATAGCGAGGACATAAAAATCCTTCCTCTCTTTCTAGAGTGTGTGAAAAATAAGGATGCTACGCTATACACTTTTTGGTAGATAAACAAGATAGTCACACAGAACTGAGGATCATAAAAACACATTCAATTATAATATACTGAATCCCTAGCCTGTGGAAACAATGTTCATTAAAAAGAAAGCTCTATTAATTGGAACAGTCTGCTACTTTCTAGTCTCCCTCCCTTACCACACACACATTTCAGATTGCAAGATTCCCAGTGTTTAATAGTTTCATAGCAGTGAGTCTGTCTGAAAATTATATATTTTAATTCATAGTTATGCGTTATAGGATAATGGGATTTCTCAAATTGTTACACTACATCATGCTGTTTGGCCTAGATGGCTTTACAGCACAATAATTAAACCAATACATAGTTACATTTTCAAAGGGGAAAGGAGTCCCTGTGGGTTTGAAGTTATTTACCCAACAGTTGTTAATAACGACCATCTGCTATCAGACAATAGGTGTCAAATGCACATTTTGGCAGACTAGCTACCTGCCAAGAGGAAAATAATCAACTGCACATTTCTTGCTCCTAAATCCTCATGGACAATCCAAGTTAGCAGAAAACCATAATAATTAAGAAAATAAGAAAGGAGGGAGCAGGCCCTATTTTTCACTCGTAAAGAAATGGGTAACAATTTGTGTCAGCAGATAGCAACTTTTGGCAAGAAGGGACCCAGATGAAGTTTCTAACCTACATCAGAGTAGAAGACAGAATAAGATACTGCTCCAAATATGCTGTAAGTTTGCAAGCTATAGAGGAAAAGAAATTGTTTAACAAAATCCTCAGTCATTTTATACCTTCACTAAAATTATTTCATTAAATTATTTCTGTGCAGGATTCTCCTCCAGGAACTTTTATCTTCTGTCAACTCTTAAACTATGTGGATACGCAGTACACTTTTATTATCTACTAATAAGCTCACCTGAAGATTTTCTTTTACAGGCTCTAATTTGCCAGTCAGTAGCCTTGGAAGACGAATTACCAGATCCTTTGTCTACAATTAGGGAAAACACACAACAAAAAGATTATTATTGAAAGCTTGTTTGTGAATCCATCTGTGACAGAAAAATAGAGATCTCATAAAAACTCTTTTTTTTCCCCGAGTTGGAAGAGGGATGCGCTTTCACTTGCATTTCATTTTATCTCTACCCCAAAGATGAGTTAGTGTGAAGCCCCGATATATTAAGATGCAAAAAGTTACTCAAATATGTTTATTTGGAAAACAAAAAATAACATAGCTGTTGTAAAACAGACAGGAAGAGGGAGTAAAAGCATGCTCCAAAAGTGGAGAGCATGCTTAAGTGCCCAACCTCTCTCAGTGCTCAAGCTGCTGCTTCCCACCTTTTTAAAAAAAGTAAATAAAACACTACCTGATAGAGGCTATAAAATGCCACTGCAGTTGAAAAATCCTTTGTCTACCTCAGGATCTGGTTAGACCATAGTAATAATACTAATTGCCACAAGGCAATACAAGAAATTACTCCACATCCCTTAAGCCATGTGACTACTTGTAATCTGCCCTGAACTCAAGGCAATGACCAAGCTGTTTTACCAGAGAGGTCTCTTACTTCACGTGTGGAAAGGCCAGGAACAGGAACTGTGACAGCTATGACCATCACAGTGCCAATACAAAAGCCAATAGAACAACACCAGATTCCATTTGGAACTTGACATTTATTGCAATCCCCAGCTAGTGCAAGAAACAACTAACACTGCTCACTTACTCCAGGAAACTCCAGCTACTAGCTCCTCTGGTCCTAAATACCTGCTAAGCACACAGTGTGGTAAGCACTCACAAGTGAACCCAAGGGTTACGCTTATGATTTGGCATTTAGTTTGATGTAATATTCACAGATCAGACTATTCTTCACCGATGAGTTAAGTATGTTACAGTAGAGTTAAGTATGTTACAGTATCTTGAAGAGATGAAGAGTGCCAATTAATTTTCTAGAAGTTGAAAAAGCTGCTTGCTGTTTCAGCAATGGATTCAGTCCTCTGACTCACCTCAGATAATAAAACTGGATACACACATGCTTGTTTGACAATAACCTGCAGCAGATCATCTTCAAGAACTGTACCTCAGGACCTTTGAAGGTTAGATGTCCATACTACTTCTATAGATAGTTAAAATCATGGTAGCCTCCCGTAACCCTTTGTGTTCCTATTGGTAATGTCACCAATGTTTGTGGATAACCTCCAAATACTTGAAGTATTCATGTTCCAAGGCCTTACAGTTGTCCCTGACAAAGCACCTGAAGACTTCAGTGTATAATCTTTACCTTTTTTACACTGAGGCCAAGTTCATTTTTGAAGAAACCCAGTCTGTTATCCAGTCTTTCCACTGAAAACAACAGCAAATAGGGAGCTCTTGAGACCATCTGAGCAATTTCTGCCTTACCAAATTTTTTCGATTTTAGGTAAGCCACTCTAGAAAGAGAACAAAAACAAAATAAAATCCAGTGATGAAAATTTTATTGCCTCCATTTATTCAGTACTTGCTTAAATTCCTCAGTGATATCTTATAAACAGACAGATGTTCTAGCATTAACATGCAACCCTGCCAAGAATAATTAGGGGGAAATCTGCAGTTATCATAAAAGCAAAATACCATCCCTTCCAATTAATTAGAAGTAAAATAAACCTCAGAGCAGAATGTCAATACTGAAGACAGATTTTAATTCCTTCCAGCTGTCCTTAAGCAGATAACTATGTTAACCTACATTTAACTACCAGCCTGTCTCCTAGATTGCAAACACATTAATAGATCATCATAAGGTATGGACAAGAAGATATATACAGCCTTTTGCTATTTTAATGAATTCCATTTCTACTGCTGAAAGAACAGTGTACTATACATCATACGTCCCTATTTTGCCAATAGCACTGGAGTAGAAATATACAACAATGCTATCTATAGAGACATTGTCCAAAAAGACATTTCTAAATCAGCTGAAGTTACTTTTGTTACAATAGGTCCCTACTTTCAGTCACTGGTCCAAGAATTTAGTTACAAAACATCTGGTTGTCAGAAAGGAGAAGGAACTGACTGAAGTTTTTATGTTTAACAGAGCTTTCTTTCTTTCCAACTCAAAATGTTTTCCAAATTTTTTTGAATTCAGTGAAAGTGAAATCTGTTTCAAGTACTACTTGCAGTGGATTATTACCATAGCTCCCAGAAAAAGGAATAGGGGGGAAATACAGCACACAAAATAAAGAGACACAATTAACCCATGTGCCACCTTATAAAAGAAAAAAACAACTGAACTACAATTTGAAGAGGTTCCCTATGTTTCTAGATAAGCATATACAGAAGTATTTGCTGTCAGACAAACTTAGAGCATACAAGAACTGAATTTATCTGGCAGTAAATAAGATACAAAATAGATCGAAGAATATTCTGCAGAAGCAGATATTCAGCAAAGATGGGCTGCATGTTTCATCATCTCTTGTGGAGAGAAAAAACCAAAAAATACCTTCCAGTCACTGCAGCCTCCCTCTCCTTCCACAAACCCTCAAAAATGAAGTAATCACAAGCCAAAAACCTCTAGACAGATCTAAGAACAAGCTCTAAGAGGACCAATTCCTAACTAAGCAGGCACCCCAACACAGAAGACAGCAGCCTCGGCTCCAGGTAATGCTGATGGAACTGGCTGAAGCAGCCTCAGAAACAAGGAGATGTTAGGAGGGTAAGAAATGCAGAAAACTCCAATAAACAACTGGCCCTTCAAAAATTATCCCATTATATTTTGAATGCTGCAGCTTGGCTACACTATACTACTTCCATTCAATTTTTTCAAGGGCACAACTGCCAAGTGTGCTAGAAACATAGCTAAATGAGCAGATTAAAAATAAAACCTTTTCGTTGTCCTGACTCCCCTCTGCTTGTTTTCTGTTAACAAGTCATTAAAACTCACACCTGAAGCATTTCTTCACATCCTGGAAAGGCAAGAAGCTTAAAAGAGGGATGGCAAGACTGTAATAACCAGACTCTAGAAACTGGTGTAATTAAAAGAAGCACAATCATCCAACCTGACCAAGGTTTGGGATAACTTTGTGAGTGTTGGCACCAAGGTTAGCCCTCATTGTACTACAGGGGTCAGCAGTTCTATGTAGCATGTTAACAGTTTTAAGTCATCATTAACAATACCGTAAAACAAAGCATCTGGTGCAGCTGCAGAACAGACACTGATGTGCAACTGTCAGAATTGTTATGAATTATGGAATGTTTTGACTTTTACAGTGTTTATCTGAAGTCAAATGCCAAATCTATTGAAATTTGTGTTTTGTTTCCTGGCAACATGGAATCCATAGCAATAAAACATTCCAGAGTGATGTAACCAATACCATGTCCATCTGCACCAAAGTGTTTATGCAAAGGTGATACTCAGCTTTCAAAAGACAGCTATGTGAGACACATTCACTTCACAGCCTGCCACATGCCCTCCGCAGCACGCTTATTTTAAAGCTTGCAGAAAAGCATTCACCAGTGCCAGAGATAAACTTCCTGAAAAATCAAGCTGCAAAAAGAGAAGAAATTGGATTGCCCTGTTCAGCCCCTACCTCACTAACCAGGGAGTGACACATGACAGTCACGGAAAAGCAAATCTAACTTCACAGAAGAGTTAGAAAGTTCATCATCACAAAAAACACTCTCTTCAAAGTATAAGCGATTCTGACAATCCAGACTCAAAACTACTGCTGAAAAATGAAACAGGTTCTTTTCGGATACAGTTTCTGAAAGGCCACTTACTGAACAGAAGGATGGAAGAACAGAACAGGGGGAAGAAGAAAAGTCAGGTCTACGTTAGACGGGAGTCTACTAATGTGTCTGTTTCCAAAAAGCTGCATTTTCACATTTCTGTCTTGGACAGCTGCAAAAGCCAAGCAGACAGACTTTCTTTTCTGGAATTAAATACCAAGGCATTTTGAGTTCATTACAAAGTGCGTGCACACATACACGAGTTGTTCTGTAAAAGCGTGGAATTAATGCAAGCCTGTCTGGGGTAATTTTAAGAACAGAAGTCCATTTTCCTGCAATTTTTTTTATAATCAAGACACCTAATGGAAGCAAGATTTAGAAGAATTAAGTAATTCCACTTCAGAATCTAACTTATCATAGGTACACACCAAACAAATACAGCTGAGTAAAGAAAGCTAGGATGTCTATGACTTAAAGACACAGAGAAGTTAAAAAAAAAAGTACAACCCCATAGTCTGGTGCTGGTACCTTGAGTCTGTCATGTCTTAATGCAAAAATTTGGAAGGAAGAACTAAAGCAAAGGAATATAGTAAAGCTGTTTGTACCCATCCACAACAAGGAAAAAAAGTGGCAGTTACAAGCCACTACGCCATCCCTAGGGCAGAGAATCTTTGCAAAAAGTGGCTGTGGATTCATGAAAATACAGGTTCAAAACGTACATTCAGTTATTTCAGATAAATGAAGAATTAAGATTTTTTTTTTTAAAGATTGTTTAGATTATTACAATACAATGTTTCAAAGATCTTGACTATTTTAATTCCGGTTATTTAACTTCCGGAAGAGTTTTCTTTAGAAGAGAAAGGCTTTCTGCCACAAATACAAATCTCATCTTTAAAGCTCTAGAAATAGTCCTCCGAAGTTAACAATGCAAAAAAAAATAAGGACAGGCTTCTGTAAATATACATGTACAGTTACAACCATAAGACCTCAACCTGACCGGCATCAGCTGGTATCTCAGTTACTGCAGGATAGCCCAGCATCCTAGCTTAAACCCACTGAAGGAACAGTCAAAATCTGCACTCATGCAGCCAAGGTGCACACACACTGTACAAAACAGTACAGTGACAGTTGATTTCTGATACAGGGAGAATGGACAGCTGCTATCAGTAATGTCTTAGTCCATGCTGGGTAGACCTGCCACAGCTCCTCAATATTCTTGTTTTGACCACCTTTATCCCTTTAACTCAGATGCAGGTTTTTAAAGCTACTTTAAATACCAGTATTATCTCATTGTATCTCTCGAGCTGACCAGACAAAGAATTGTTAATGAAACTACAACTGCCATTAAAGAGAACAAGAAATACAGTTTGATTCAGACAACACTTGGAATTACTGAAATCAGAAGACTTCAGTCAACTTCTGACACAAATCCCATCACTTTCTAAGTAAAGCTGCTGGAGAAAGAGGAGTATGCATATATAGTTATCTTATTTCTTCAGTGCAGAAAAAGAGACCCATAAATGCAATTTTATTAAAAAAAAACAAAAAACACAAACCCAACAAACCAACAAGAATTCCACCTTTGGTGTTTTTGGTACACACAAATAAGCTTAAAAAACCCCAAACAACTCCAGAAGAAGGCAGCTCACTAAATAAGCTTTGGTCTAAGATACGATATCTTCTAAAGAGAGTATTGTTTACCCTTACGGCCAGACAATCTTGGGTGACAGTCTAGGGCCATACAAGCATGAACACACAAAAATTAGTTTGCTGTAGTCTTGTGCTCAGTTTGAGCTGGACAACAGGAAGAAATAAAGTCACCAAAACCTGCTGCTGCTATTAGAAGTAAACACAGAAGAGATCTGGTCTGTTTCTTTTTCTGCAGAATTCACAAGGTATGCATAGACATACGATCTAGAAAAGCGCTTTCAAAGCATGACCGAAGAGGTTAATATTGTTCTACAGATTTAGGTAAAGCCTCAGGGACCAACATTTTGGAATCTAAGCTGACACAGGTAAAGCAAGTGGCTTAGAATGGCAAGATGCTTCCTTTATGGCAGACACACAGGGATGAGCAGTAAAATTTGTTAACAGTCAGTTTTCAGATGGATCAGGATGTTGACTCGACTTGTGATACCACCACATGTTAATGCTGACTGATGGGAAAGGACAGAAACATGGAGTCAGGGATAAAGTGAGAAAGGAAGCAGCAGCAACACAGGTTCAGAGAAGGTTAAGTCAACTGGGAAACAAGATCTTCAAGCCAAGGGGCTCAAGACCCAGCTGCTATTTGAAAGGCGTACCTGGTTTCTAAAGCTTCCAGATCTTCAGCAAGGATGTATGGATTTTTGGTCAGGAATAGTCCCAGCTGATTGTCTTCTACACCCACATCCTTAAGAAACAGAAGTATTTTTCTTATATCTTTTTCAAAGTCCAAGGTCAGTAAGAGTTGACCTGCCTTTTGACGTTTCTCCACTTGGGATAAGTCAACTCCTACAACAAACAAAATTAGATGTTGTTTTAATTAAACATAGACCTTACTTCCTGTAAATGTTTCAGAAAGGCATGTTGAAATTTACAGGACTACTCCTTTTTTGCACTGATTTAGTATACTTCAATCGCTCAACAAAACAAGGTCACAACACCTTGTATATTGTGGAAAGATTACCGGTAAAACAAGCAGTCATTTTAGACACTTTTGCCAAGTTTATTTTTTTGAAGGAAGACATGTGCAGTGAATCCTGCACGTGAAGAATCAAGTACGCTAGCGTGTACCGCATGTAGAGACCTACTCTTGTCGCACAGAACTATGTGTGCAAGGAATTCCCAACTCCATTATACAAGGGAAGGAAACAATTTTGCAGTGAAGTGCCTTTACATACTGGCTCACACGCGGCAATTTGTTACTGCATGGAGCCAGAACTCTTCTCAAACATTTATTTCTCCAACCTCATTCTAGTGTTCCTTAAGCTTTGGGGAAACGAGGGGGTGGCCAGCAACCTTGAATTCAGCTATCCTTGCACGGCCCAAGTGCAAGGCCCAAGTTTTTGATGAGAACTAAGGTTCTCTTCCTCCTTGCTTCTCCAGTTTACTGTGCACCACTTCTAAGGTTCTGCACAGCAACTGCTCTCCTTCCTTCCAAGGACAGAGCGCTGCAATTTCTTTTGCAGCAAATTAAAGCTTCCTTAACCAGCCCAAAAGAAGAGAGACCAATCAAGTTACGCAAAGTGCTCCCAACCTCTGGAAGCTGTGAGAGATGCCTCCTTCTAGCACTCAGAGCACTAAGGGACTACAGCTAGCCAGCCTTGCAACTAATACAGCATTGCTAGTGAGTCATGCAGTCCCCTTTCTTTTTCCACTTGCCCTGGGTAACATTCTGCTGCCCTTAACCATTGGTCGCTGTTCCTGTTTTCAAGTTTACAGGGCAACCAGTAAGATCAAAACACAAATTATAGAATCTCCAAAGCTCCAGATATAGGCAAACCACGTAAACAAAATCACGCATACCTAGGTGGACAAGTTTTGCCAGGGTTTCTGAGTGATCAACATAATCTCGGAGTGTTGAAGACTGAAGGGGAAGAAGTGGTTCTGCAATGATCTGTACAGCTTCTTCCTCTGAAATCTCCTCCAAAGCAGACGAAGGTGGGATGTCATCCCAGTCTAAGAAACAAATATAGAAGACCTGAATGCATTTTGTGAAAGACAAAGCCGCTCCCACCAAACGCTATATAGATTTCTTAAAATCCACTGCAAAATACAAGAACACTGTGCATGAGATGAACAGCCAATATATTATTATTTGAAAACATATGAAAACATAGACTTTACTCCCAGTTTTTGTCTCTGTTGCATCTCCTTGTCACTGCCCATCAACTCTGCTCATGTGGCCAAATCTGAGTGTAGTACCCCAGGAAGCCTGACTTCAGTCTGCTGCCTTGATCGTTGCAGACAACAGATCACATCACCTTCTTGAAAAAGAATTTTCTTTCATGTCTTCACAAATGCATTCTTGCCTGATCATATCCAGATCAAAGGCTACTGCAAAGATTATTTTTCATAACCTGACAAGCCCGCTGCTTTGTGCCTCTTTGGAATCTGATGCCTGAACTGCAGTCACTTTAATTTTCAAGGTACTTCACAGCCAAGTCCAACCAAGTTATTGTGTCTTATCCATTACAGAATGGCTGCTGACTGACACCACCTCAAACAGCTAAAGAAATAAAGCTCCATTTTCTGCTCATTAAGGTTTCCAAGTCAACATCATTATTCTTGTTTCCTCTTAAGTATTCCAAGTCATAGAGCTCAGTGTCTTTTTAAAAAATATTTCTCTACACTGATCTATTTTTCCATTGACAGCTCAGAGCAGTAATCAAGATTATTGTTTTGCACGCTGGCTGCTAGCATCCACCTCAATTATCAAGCTAATTACAGATCAACAGCCCTAATTATGAACTCTTCAGGACCGGGATTTTTCTGTGCCCTGTACCTTCGCACAAGGACTTCCTAGAGACTAGGGTAACACTTTCATGTCAAGAAAACAAAGTCACACCAGAACTACCAAGACAGGTTCCAAAGTAAGTTGGAAGATCCTACTGTTCCAGGAAGAGTTGCACAACTAGCTCAACGGGTATCAAAGGCCTTGCCACTTCTTTGACTCAAAGCCTCAGAAACAAAAGCACAGTAAAACGTTTTTAGCAACATTTACAACTTAAACAGTAATAAGAACTCTCTAGGAATCTATATGGATATTAAGCACTTCCTTTCAACTTGTTGAGGACCAAAACAATATACACCAAGTTCCCTTCTGGAAGCACAGATGCTCTTTTTTTGCCTTTAAACCTTTTATCAGGAAACATACCTCAAGGTACAAAAAAAAAAAGTTAGCAATTATGTTTATTCCACTATATACACTGCCAGCTGGGCAAAATGCTCCACATACATACACATAACAGTAAGTTGGCCAGCAGATAAAAATCTGGCACATAAATAAACTGCACCGCAGGTGCAGACACATAAGAGCTGGCTGACCTGCCAGTTCTGGTGCAGCACTGTTTCCAGAACCAGCTGCACAAACACACAGATCTCAGTTGCAGCTCTGAGCCACCCCAAAAATGAGCTCTGTAGGATCCAAGTTGGCCGGGCTCAAAGCTGAATCTGAACATACAAGACTGCTTAGTAATCCAGAACAAGTTTCCTCAGCATACTATAATTATTTTCAGAGGGTGGTATTTTTTTAATCCTCACTTAGATATAAAAGCAGAGAAAAGTGAGGCAATTTCCTCAGCGCAACAACACCCAGGCGACCTCGTATGTATCTTTCCTCAGGAGGCACTTTGAGAAGGATTTCTCCTCAGGGCAGGCTTCACACTGCTGCCTCCTGTTGTTCACCCCCGACCGCTCAAACAGCCGTGTGGTGCAGGCTGCTTCAGGGGTGGCCTCCCCCACCCCTACTCAAAAAAAACCCCCAAAACCAACCCCAAAACCAACAAACGAAACCCTTTATTTTGTACCAGACCAACTATGAGGGAAAGGCTAATGCTCAGCTACTGCAGGTAGACATACAAAAAGAAAAGCTCTTCAAACAGCAGCTCCAGACCGACATTTCTACCCAAAACATTATACACCTTTAGCTTGTCTTAAAGGTATTCTTTATATACTAGAGTGACCACAGGAATTCTGCGTTACCTATGGGTCCTAAAAACAAGTGAAAGTCGGGAACTTCAGGGAAATATTTTAGATAAACAGACCAAAAGAGGAGAACCAAGGGTAAGACTGAAAACATCATATGGAGGTCTGGGACAAACGGTATCCCTAAGGCCTCTTACCTTCATACAGTATTTCTGTATTCAGATCAGGTAATGTTTCTGCCTTTGCTTGTTCCTGTTTTACTGGCGATGGCAAGTGACTTTCGGGAGAAGAAAAGGATCCATCTTTGGCACTGTCGGGTGGAGAACAGCTTCCTACAGATGCATGCCTGTATGCCTGCAATCTCCACGGAAGGCCGTCATTTCTAGAGAGCAGCAGAACCAGAGGGGCGAACCCACGACAACCCTGTGCCGTGCTGCTGCGGCCCCTCAGCCTCCGAGAAAATTCAGCACCACGGGCTGTTTGCAGCAGGCAACACCAGCGGGAGACCTGCCGAGCCCACAAAGCCATCTTCCACCTCAGCGCTGCATCCTGCTGGGAGAAAAAAGGGCTAAGGAGTAACACAGGCACTGCCTCACCTCGCTCGCAGGGCTGGGAGCGTAAGCGCTAATTCCCTGAGCACTAAAGCAGAAATTACTCGCTGCAAAGCACTAAGTAGATGCTTTGAGGCTTTAAACCTCCAAACGGGGGAGGCATAAGTGAGGAGAAGAGCCGGCTCTGAAGACAGCCGTCCCCTTGGGAGCGCGGGGGAAAGCCCAGCCGGGACCTA